CCGACATGATTTTGGAAGTGGGCAAAAGGACACCACCACCCTGTCGTTCACGAATTGTTGAGGAATATTTTCCCAACGTGTAGGCCGTGTGATCCATTTTGAGATGCCCCACTGAAGTGATTGGGAGATGATAGCTCTTCTTTTGCTTTAGTGGCACGGATGATTCTTTTTTTCGAGCCAGTTCCCTGCCTATTTTACGCTGGAGATGCACGAGCCCAGCAGCAGCATCAAAACAAAAGGCGAAAAAAACTTTGTTGTGGAGAAACGAGTACAGTGAGGTTCTTAAGTAATATTGCACAACTAAGAAGCGGAGTTTAACGTTCGGTCGTAAAAGAAACGCGCGCAAATAATTAAAAAGAACGGTGTGAAATATCACGTGAGAGCAAGAGGCACCAGATGAACGTAAGGTCCATGTGCAAGTCGGCTGCTTTTTTTTTGTCTCGTCGGGAAGTAAGGAGAACCTACCGTTTATTTAAAATCGCCCACACGTCTCTCGCCCGCAATCTCAATGAACCTATTACATCGTTTATCCCTCTCCACCGTAGAGATGTACGCAGCCACCGCTTTTACGCGATTCAATCGGCTGTTGAGAACAAAGTGGGCATTAGAAATGGATGGTGCATCTATAAAAAAAAAAATATATTTCAATAAATGTTTTGCCATCGTATTTTACCGCTTTAATTGCGGACGAGCGTAGCAACTGTCACGGCTACGGTCGTGTCTTTTTCAGCAATGTGCTCTGGATCGTGTCTTTTAACCTATGCCAAGTTAATGTTGCTGTGAAAGCTTGGGCACCTAACCGTTTGCCCGGCACATCAAGCATTTTTATTACAGCCGAGGCTGTAAAACAAAATAGGACCTCTGATTACACTGTAAAGCAAAGCCGCTTTTCTGAGACCCTCACCCACCCACTCGCTCCCCCGTCTGCGTGCCTACGTCATGAGAGGAGGGCCCACGACTCGGTTCCGTTGGACCGTGAATCTCTTTGCATGGCCAGGGGAGGGCCTGTCGCAGAGATCGCAATCGGGTACCCGATACCCGTACCCTACCCGATACCCGGCTACCCGTACCCGGCCGGGTATCGGGTAGGGTACCCGTTTGCGACCCTGGTGCGGCCGGGTACGGGTAAGGAATCAAAACCCGTTTGCGACCTCTGGCCTGTCGAGACAATCTCCTCGCTTGCAAGTGCAAGGAGTAGCTTTAATCGCTTTGTGTACACGTGTACAGCCCATTCTGTCAATCCGCTGTTGGATGAGGGCATCCCCATACCTGTGTGGTTAGTTGGGGGGGGGGGGGGGCGGGGATTGTTTGACCATACTTTAGTCGTGAAGGTTGGTGAAGAGCATAGACAGGACAAATATTTGTTTTTCTGCAGTGCTGCCCGTTGCGTAGCTCCTGTGCTACGACTCTGTGGTGGTCGCCCAGCCAATCGCTGTCCAGGCCCAACACCTGCTTAGCGTTCTGGGCGAATTTTGGCCACAGGCTTCGCCAAGAGGTTATTTAAAACGTCACTTTTGTTTACGCAGGCAACCTTCGTCGAGTCTCGAGGCTCTTTCAGGAGAATCCTGCGTTGTTGGGATGTTTGGCCAGATCACTTTTGAAAATGCTTCTGAAAAAAAACTTTTATTTTACCAGGGAAGATCCATTCAGCTATACAGCTCCTTTTCAGAAGCTACCTGGCCGCAAATGATGGCTCAACAAAGTGGCTTATCACGTGAAAATTTCTAGCAACCAAATAGTCTTTAAACGTACTTTCTAAATGTGGAGGGAAACATTTGGAGGACCTGGATAAAAAAAAATGCGACCACGGGGTTAACAAATAAACTCCAAATATACAGCAGCAGGCGTCGGGGTCGGGATCGAACCCACGACCTCCTGTAATAGGCGAGGGAGTTAACATATCCTAGCCACCGTGGCGCCCTCTTCTGCGAGGTGAGACGAAACGGAATGGGGGGATGATAATGGGTGAGTTCGTGAACTGTGACATCGTGAATTCTGTACTCTTGTCATCTTTGTTCCAAGGTGGGTTTGGTAGTTAGACATCTCTGCGTGATCCACCAACACTCCACCAGCCTCCTCCACCGCACTATGGTGTCGGAGGAAAGTGCCACCAGTTGGCTGCTTTTATTCCGTCGATTTTCGTCATTTCCCATACTTGGAGCTCTTAAGTTCCCGGCAATGACATTGACGTGTTGCATTGATTTTTTTTCCGTATTTTTTTTCCCGAACGTTATGATATCATTTTCCCCTCCCCGGCGCTCTCTCGCCACTGGCAACCAACGCTGTCTACCGAAGCTTCCCCCCCCCGCCCCCTAAACCCACGCGGCTTCTTCAGCTGGAGGTCGCTTGTTCTCCTCTACTGGCATTGTCTGGGCCTCCTCTTCCACCAGCTCGCTGTGCTGTCAACTCCTTTCCCCCACCATGCTCCAGGCTCGAGACCTTGACATTTTATTTTCTATGCCACCTCTTTCTCTTACATAACTATGAAAACAAAGATCCCCCACCATAGCATGAACAGACTGTTTGGGAAAGTGCTGTGTGAGAGTACCTATGAAGGCCAGAATGGCACACGAGGGGGTGGGTGGCCAGCACCGCGCCCTTTGTCTCCCGAGTGCCGATGTTTTTACGCACTGCGCCAGGTACTCATTTGATGTCGACCTCGGGGAGGCCCAAGATCGGTTCAGATAATCGTCACTGATGTTGGCCGTGAGCAGGGAATCGAACTCTGGTCGCCAGGTTCGTTTTTCTCCAGCATCTTGATGTGGTTGCATTCCGATGCTTTATTATTCCACATTGCATTGTACTACATTATGGTCGTGTACCGTCAACTCCCACTGATTTTATGACCAGATTTTTGTGCTGACGACGTCCATGGCATGAGACAGAATCCATTCGGATCCCTCGTACAGCAATGCAACTCTCCAAAAAAATAACCTTTTACGGTGAATAAAATTGATCGTGAAAGCCTACGTGTTTAAACCAACTCTTCCTGTCATAGAACGGCCCACGGAAGAGGCTATCACAGAGCCACTTCTTAAAATCCTTGGGGTGACCTCTGGTGCACGCATCACTCTACTGTCCGCTCTGCCATGGGAAATCAAAGAGTTTGTTGCCAGAAAAAATTAAGTGCAGATCCAAATTGACTGCAGTGGGTTTTGTTTTGTGTGTAGTCATTGGTGACCGGGCTGAGACGGTCAACCCGCGACGCTTGACGCTGCTTTGATTGCAGGTGGCTGTCTGTTTGACGCGAGCCAGGGATCTGGCGGCGCCAGTCCAGCGCTCCGACCTCCCAAGCCACCCGAGCCACCTCGATGTTGAAAGCGCTTATCAAGTTGCGGTCGCGCACTCCGTCGTTTCCACCTTTCGGTTGCCGTGTTTGCAAAGTACCGGAGCGACCATCGCTTGCGGATTTTTTCCATCGAGCGGCGTTGTTCCGTCACCTTGAAAATTGTAGCAATCTCCTCTGCAGGATTTGAATTGGGGTCGGCGAGTAAATTTGGTGGCATGGCCCATGAGCAGCCGGTGGCACAATTAATCTGGAACACGAAGGCGGTGAATGGCGTGAACCGGTCTTGCCGTGGACGCCCCGGCTAAGGTTACCCGCCCCCGGCTGAAAGCGATCCCGCGGTGTTGGTGACGGCACACGGGGCCCTCTGCGGTTACTGTACGACGCTGTGCGAGCGGCGGGCGTCCACCCACCCACCTTCCCCCCCACCCACCTTCCCTCTCCCCTGCGCGCCTACGATTAGCACGGTTGGCGACGTACGGTGCGATTTTAGAAGTTCTCCGTACGTAGACACACCCGTGCCATTGGGGAGTGCGAAGGCGGAGAGAATGCGTCGACCCTTTAGAACCTTGCTTGGAAATAATTGAAATGTGGGTTGGTGCTTTTCATTGAATGGATATGTGCAGTGGACGGCATTCTTGTTGCATTAATTTGCCCCTTTTTAAATGGGATGTGCAGAGTTGACGATTTAACATCCACTTTGCCGTCCTTGATATCATCGTGAGCCATGATCAATCCACTGCTGGCTGAATGCCTCTCCAAGCCGTGCCCATCTCTCACGGTCCCAAAATGCAACAACTTCTCGAGCAGCTGCACACGCGCGAGTTTAATCGCTCCATCTCTTCAGTGGGCGTCCTCTCCAGTGTTTCCTCCCTTGGCTGTTGCTCTGTCGCTAGTTTTGACGATCCATGCAAGTCGCTCATTCTGTATTCCTGGATTGCGAGGGATTGAGATTGGGGAGGCCTTTGTGCAACGAAGCCTAGACTGAGTTGCGTCTAGCCAACTCAATCTAGCTGAGCTGCTGAAGGCCGAGTTGCGAGCAAACAGAATATAAAGGTAAGGGTGCAGCCCTGTAATAACTGCACTACACAAGACATGCGAGACACTCGGCATGGCAATGACTTGTTCGTTCGTTTCTCAATCCGCTTGTCCTGGTGAGGGTTGCGGTGGGAAAATGTTGAGTAGCGGTCCAGACCTCCCTTTCCCTGGCTGCAGACTCCAGCACTAATACACTACTCTACACTACTGCACTATACACTGCTATACACAGACTCTAGCTCTTCCTGGGGAATTCCCAGGCATTCCCAGACCAGCTGAGCGACATCGTCTCGCCAGCGTGTCCTGGGCCGGCCCCGGGGTCTTCGTGAACAAAAAAAACTGAGAAATGGCAAAACATTAACTTAAATGCTAAAAGCCATTGGCTAAATTAACAAAAAATGTAACAAGCAGAAGTGTGTAGATACCTTTTTCGAGTCGAGCTTTGAAAGCGTGGAAGCGTTCCAGAGTCTGGGAGCCGCTTCATGGGGAATGGCTCGGTCGCCCGTAGACCCAAAGCCTCTACGACCTGGGAACCGGGAGAAGATCTGCATAACCAGATCAACGAGGCCTTGAGGGGGGACCTAATGGGGGCAACACTGCCTCCGACGTAGGCTGGGGCAAGGTCATGTGCGTGATGGTGGGGTCACGCGCGCGCATCGTGTTGCTTCCCGTGCAGACAAGCGTGTGGCAGACTGGCCGCTCATGCAGTCGCCGCTGCCCACGCTGGCCATCACGTCGCTCTACCTGCTCTTCGTGTGGCTCGGCCCCAAGTGGATGCAGAAGCGCGAAGCGTACCAGCTCCGCGTGCCACTCATCATCTACAACTTCGCCATGGTCCTGCTCAACATCTACATCTTCCTCGAGGTGGGACGCCGCACGCCACACGTTACCCGTGCGGAAGGTCGCTCCTCCACCTCCTGTTCCGCCCCCCCTCACCACCCACTGCTCGCCGCTCGCATCCTCCACCTCTCGAGCGATGGTTGGGTTAAAACGCAGGCCTTGGATAATAGTCGGCGGTGAGCGGTGTCTGAACCGATCCTCGTCCTCCGCTCGGCTGACTAAACCTTAGAACCTGACCTGGTGCGGTGCGTGAACATCGGCACTAGGGAGACAAAGTTGTCTGGCCGTGTCGCTGTCCACTACCCCGTCATGCCGTCCTGCACGGGGTTTCCTGTGTGCTTTGGCTTCGTCACATAGCCACAAAACACACGCGCGCACACACAGTGGAAGTGGGCAAAACATCCCAATGATTGTTAATTACCGTCAAATAACTCAATTCGGGTTACACACAGCGGCAAAACCCTCCTGCTGCAAGCCTTGAGAACTCTAAGATATTTATAGGTCATGAGCGCAAAGGAATAATGTATAAAATAAATGGCAGGCACTCGTTAGCAGCGCTTGCGCCAATAGTTGATGTGAAGCCTGTATGGGGATATCCGTCGTGCGTGTCCGTGTATGCGTGCTGTGCCGCCCATTTCCCTCCACCCCCTCCGTGTTCAGCTCTTCCTGGGAGCGCGTGCTGCCGTGTACAGCTACATCTGCCAGCCCGTCAGCTACACGGACGACGTTAACGAGATGAGGGTAAGCGTTTTTGGGGCGCGCTCTCCACGCGGCCGAAATAGCCACACCCGCACCATTGCTCGGCATCTCGGGTTAAGGTGCCCAACTGAATTGTTGGACATTCCCACATCAGTGCTGTGCAGCAAACGCACAAGGGGGGGGAGGGTCAAGCCATTCCCAGACTTTTGGCACTTCTCTCAGCCACTGCACTCTAAAAAATTGCAATAAAATGTTTTATTTTACCAGGTAAGGCTTACAGAGCTCTATAGCTCTTATACCAAAGCAACCTGGCCGCAATTGTGATGGCTCAATGAAGTGGCTTATCATGTGGACATCTATAGCAGCCAAATACTCTAAACGCGTGATGTTGATTCTAAATGTGGACTGGAAAAACCGGAGCGACCCGAAGAAAAACGTGCCAACTCCCAGATGTCTGGTCGTGATCAAACCCACAACCTCCTGCCTACCAGGCGGGGGAGATGACGTCTCGCTACCGAGGCACCTCCCTCGCAACCACAGCCACCACACGCGCAACCACAGCCACCACACTCGCAACCACAGCCACGACGCCCAGACACGACCACCGCGCCAACCAACACGGCCCTTCTCTCACTCGTGCTCGAGTCTTCGAACTCCCCAGTGCAGCACAGGCGGACGTGCGTCTCTCCTTGAACCATTTGGGGACGCGCGTCTTCACTTCGTCGTCGTCCGTTTTCAGAATCGTCGCCCGCCCAAAGTGCCGCCGCTCCTTTGCGAGGAGGGCCCCAGCCTACGGATGGTTCGCGCCGCGTTGCCTGCGGAATGTCCGCTCGCGTCTCATGGCGCCCTCTCGTCTGTCTCCCCCCCCCCCTCCCTCTCGTCCGCAGATCGCGTCTGCCCTCTGGTGGTACTACGTGTCGAAGGGCATCGAGTACCTTGACACCGTCCTCTTCATTTTGCGTAAAAAGTTCAACCAGGTGACCTTCCTGCACGTGTACCACCACGCCACCATGTTCACCCTGTGGTGGATCGGCATCAAGTGGGTCGCCGGGGGCCAGTGTGAGTAGCTCCTCTTGACCTCTTTCGCCCCCCCCCCCACACCTTTCCCGTGCCGTCAATATTTTAGCACGCGTCAGGATTTTTTTCGTTCATCTTTCTCGTTGTCCCCTTTCGCGCGAGAGTTTTGTGTGCGGCAAAAAGCTGAAATGTTAATCGGCCGGAAGTGTTTTCCGGATGTGGGGGGGGGAGAGCGGTGTACAGCCGCGGTGGGACATTTCACCGTGTTTGTCGGGTTCGGAGGGTACGCGCCAATCACTGCGCTCACTCTTGAAGAGCAAGAACTCTGAGGTGCGAGGAACCATAGATAACAAGCCTACGTGTTAGACTAATTATAATTCCTAATTGTCATGATCTGCTGTGCCCTCCTCTGCCCACCACTCCTCCGCAGCGTTCTTTGGCGCGCACATCAACTCCATGGTGCACGTGGTGATGTACACCTACTACGCCCTCTCCGCCTTCGGGCCCAAGATGCAGCCCTACCTGTGGTGGAAGCGCTACCTCACCATCATTCAGATGGTGAGCACCGCCCCTCCCACGCAGCTCCCTCCTCCGTGTTTTACAGCCAAATCTGCCCCCCCCCCCCGCCTCTTCGGCAGGGGTGGGGGGGATTCAGGGTTGCCTGGTTGCAGTCGGCACCCTGCAACCAATACAAGCTCAACAAAGCGGCTAATCGTCCTGTGGCAATATATAGCAGCTAAAGTCTCGAAACACGTGATGTTCATTCTAAATGTGGAGGGAAAAATCCACGTGACCACGGGGAGAACGTGCAAACTCCCAACATGCAGGCATCAGGGTAGGGATCAAACCCACTACCTCCTGCCTACCAGGCGAGGGAGATGGCATCACGCAACCACAACCACCGCAACCACAGCCACAGCCACCGCACTCGCAAACCACAAGCAGGCGTCAGAGTCGGGACCTGTGAGGTCGGCTCTCTGACCTGTGAGCCACCCAATCGCCAACCCACGTGTTCCCTCTTTCGTCGCCCCGCAGGTGCAGTTCCACCTGTCGACCTTCCACACGGGCTACTCGCTCTACGTCGACTGCCCCTTCCCCAAGTGGATGCACTGGTCGCTCATCGCGTACTCTCTCTCCTTCATCCTGCTCTTCGCCGACTTCTACTACCGCACGTACATGAAGGCGCGCAGGGAGGCCGGCGCCATTGGGGCGGCGGGCAAGCGCTCCCGGGGCGACAGAACCTCGGCTCGCGACGCCGCCGCCGCCAAAAACGGCGCCCTCGCCGACGACCTCTCCTCTGGCGCCGACGGGCCCAGGCGGGGGGGAGCGAGGGCCAACGGCGGGCGCCCCGCCGCGCCCGACGGCAAGGCCCACGCAGACAGGGCCGCTGCCAACGGCCGCCCGTCGCAGCAGCCCTCGGCCTCGAGCGGTGGCAAGAAGCAGAAAGCCAAGGCCAAGAAGGAGTAGATTAAACCCCTTGTTTTTCCACTGTACAGCCGAGCCGAGCCGGGGCTGTGCCGAGCTAGCCCCGTGCGGGAGTCGAGCCCGTGCCTCCGCCGCCGCCGACGTCGCGCATCGAACGAGTCCGAGACGTGCGGCGGCGACGCGGCGACTCCGAGTCGTGGACTGGCCGACTGTCGCGCGCAAAGAACGCGTCGTTAATCCCCGTCCCTGGCTCTGCTTGGCCCCCGTCCCCCCCTTCCTCCCCTACCCCGCCGAGCCAGATTCGGACGTCCCTAGTTAGGCCGGCGTAGCACGGTTTGGTTCTGGCTCGGCACGGCAAAAGCACCCGTGCCACGATGGCCTGGCACCGGCTTGGCTTTGGATGTGCCAGTGGAAAAAGGGGGGGGGGGGGTGGTTGCGGTGACGGTTAGGGATAGTGTGGTTTTTCGTTTCGGCTGTGCAGGATTATCATTTTAAGTTGTCGTGGCTGCTGTAGTTACTGCGGTGGGGGGGACGGGGGGGGGGGGTCCCATTGCGAGTCGCCGATTCAGGTTGCCACTCTGGTGGGTTTGTTGTTGTGGCAGGCAGGACTCGCTGGAGCGCGCACCGCATTCAATCCTTTCCCAAATTCAAAAACTATTTTAAAAAACCTCTAAGCCACCGCACTCATTGTGGGAGGGGGGGGGGACGGCAATGGAGTCCACGCGAGCGGAGAGAGGGCGGCGGCGGCAGCACATCACAATCAATTCACCAATTAGCGAATACATCATTGCCCAAGTTGAATTACATGCACGCATTATTGCAGCAGGCAGCCATGCAGCTTAATAGATTTATGATCGCAGCCTTTTAAATTTGTCTTACTTTTTTTAGTATTTCGGCAGCTGTTCCAGTTTGCATCGTTTTACAGGGGATGACCCCAAGGCATGGCTTCACGGGATTTTTTTTCGCTTGCATGCGATTTAATTGATATTTCCAACGTGAATCGTGGGCAATCATCGTCACGGCGATTCGTCAGTTCTCGACGCTTGCAGTGCACGCAAGCGGCGAGCCGTGCGTTTAAAAAAATTGCTGCGGAATGTTACACAATTTTACGTGTAAATATTTCCCGTTTTTAGAATCGTGGTCCAAACGAAGCACCAACAATTGGTGTACAATACAAATGAGATCCGGGGGGGGGGGGGGGGGGGGGTGGACAGGATACATTATCGAATTGTAATCATGGCCTCTGATAGAGATGATTCGTATCGCGTGGTTACAGCCCCACGACGGACCAGTGGGAGAGCTTTCGTGGTCGTGGTTCACCGCTGAGTTTTCCCCATCGCCCATTCCATTGCGCGAGTTCTCACAAACGCCCCTGCTCGGTAGCGCATGTCCAGTCTGCTCTTCGGTGGTCGCACGCGCGCGAGATGCTGCCGCATCACGCGGGGGACGAGGGTTTGCGTGGCTTTGCCGCTCTGGTGTCTGCGGCGTTTCATTCACAGGGTTGGCCACTGTGAGGCGATGTCAACTGATCTTTTAACGCCATCTGCTGTAATTACACCAATGTAGTGCTCTTTCTCTCCGACCCGCCCCCGTCCGAGACGAACGGCGAGAGATTTAAAAGTGGGGGCTGGCGAACGTCGAGCGTGGGACCGCTCGTCGACACGCACCCTGCTGTCGCTGTCGCGATCCGATTAGAAATGCGCTGCCGCATGCTGACGTGTCGAATGCGTTTCCCCTTTGCTCTCGTACCCAACACGCGCAGCGCGGATGCTTGCGGCGACGGAGGAACGTCGTCTTGCGGGCATGTAGGCGTCGTGTGGCCGTGGGCCCTGGTCACGGTTGGGCCCCCATGGGCTGTGCAGGTTCCCCACTCCGTGATGTAGGTGTGACTTGTGATGACCATATGTACGCATGTTTGTTGGACTTCTTTCGCACAGTACGTAACCAACCGTGCTAATCGGAGGTGCGGGGGAAGGATGACAAACTAAACGCATAAAGCAAGTTCTAAAGGAATGAGTTTTTGATTCGGAATATAGATTGAAAACTCATTTTTTTACTTCTGGCTTGATTTTAATAAGTGCATGGCCGCTCCAGCGGCTTCCTCGTGACGGGAGTGGCACGTGTGCGGCCGTAGTCCGGTGCTTCTCAACCCTCCACCCCACGGCGCTCGCTGCCGAGCTTCTTCACGGAACACCGACCTCAACCCCCGTGCGTGCGCATGCGCGGCCCTCAATTTCCAACGGGGATGGAGGCTGACGGGGGCCCGTCTGCCGTACCGCGCACGTGCGACCAGCAGTGGGGTGGTGGGTGGGTGCTCGATCGGCCACTGGATGACACTGAGAAGGAGGCGAGTTCGCCAGTCCTCGCCTGGCAAGGTGAGGTTCATTCCTAGGATTCTGAAAATACCGTGGAGCACCGATTTGCGGAGCGCTGCCGTAGGTCTCCAGGTCCTCGGAGCAGATGTGCGTCCTGCGTGACGCCGGCGACGACGCCGGCGGTGATGTTTTATGCTGGAGCACCAAGGGCTCTTGCTCGATGTTTGTGTCGTAGGATTTGTATTTTGTGATATCGGGTGTGAGTGTAAAAGTCACGCATGATGGGGGAAAAAAAACGTTGTTTTATATTCTCAACTTTGAAGCGCACATGCTTACCAGATGTAGCTTTTTAACTGTTATTATGACTGTGGTTTTGTGTTCGCATTGTTGAGTGTTCTATCTCCAAATTACAATATTCACATCTGTCTCTGAAAGCAAGCAGACCTGGTGATAATAAAATCTGTGCTTTTTAACCGAACCACGGCGTGCGCGCACAACCACAATCGTCGTTCACCGCTCGGTGGTGGTGACCTCACTACGGCGCTTGCACCAGGTTCGGTGCAGTTTGAGGCCACATGAAGTGTCAAAGGCTCGCTGAAAAGAGGTCACGGGACAGACCCAGGTGTTATAGGTTGACGGACTGGGAAGACTTTAAGATGCATCACTTGTACTCCCCACTGTGCCACCTTGCAGCGTTTTAGCCGCCCGGCACCCCGCTCGTATTGGTTGTAGGGTGACTGTCTCTAACTGCTCGGTAGCGTCCTTTACGAGCCTCTTCCAGAGGCCGATCTTGACACTGCTTGGTACCAGTCATCTGCAAGTCCAATCAACTCCATCGTTTCTGTACCGCATCAAGCCCATCTCTTCTCCAGCCTGTGCCGTGCCCATTTAGCTCCCTCTATCTGGCCAAATAGAAGCTGCCTGGCGGGCATGTGGTAGCTGGGCAAGCGGGCTTACATGACCCAGCCAACACAGCCTCGCTAGCCGGAGGAGTTCACCGATGGGACTGTGTCCCAGGTCTTGCAAGGATCTGTGAACTCATCACGCAATCCAGTCGGTTAAACACACATGCGCCACATTTCTTGATATTTGTAGTTTGAGATTCCTATCTTAGGCAGTGACACAAGGAGGTTGCTTAGTTGTCTATTTAGAGCTTGAGAGTAGAGCAAGGAGGCTTGAGTCGATTCATTGATTAAGATTTATAATATATTTGCTGTTGTCAGTGTGGTTACTCAGGCCTCCTTAAAAATGGCTGCCACCCAAACCTCCTGCTTTCTGAAGGCAGGAAACCCCCTGCACAAGCTGGCTGCTGATGATTACCAAATTCCATCCAGCGACACACGTGGGTACAGATGTGACGTTTCTTTCAAGCAATTTTCGTGTCCATAGAGGTTTTTTGGGGTAGATTGCGTAAATATAAATGTGTCCGCTAAACCCACCACCACCCGGCACAGCCAATTAGTAAAGTTGGTCACGTGAGCGGAACATGCCAATTCTTTACTAGTTCAACACACCGCTGTGTTGGAGAGTAAACGCACAACATTTACAATTCGAGTACCGTAACGTTTCGCCAGTAATTACAACCAGCATCATCAGGCGACAGCCAGAGTTGGGGAGAAATCCTCCTGTTTCGGTATTAAATAGAGCGATTTAAATGTGGTGTCGTCACTGACGCGATCTAACTAAAAAAACACCCCGATAATATTGGTCGCGAAAGCCTACGTATTTTCGTGTCGTCAAATTTTGTTTTAGTCGTGTAACTGAAACGAATACTCGCTAAGAGATTCCTGAAATAATCAGATAGCCCAGCCCTGGCTTGAGTTCTCGGAGTATGCATAGGGGGGTTTTTCCCCAGGCACTGCCATATCCTCCTACCCAAGCGAAATCGGGAATGCGAAATGAGTCGACCATATCGTCCCAAAGCAGGACTCCGTTGATTTGAAAAAAACAGTTGAGATTCGTTGAGGCTTCAGAGGGCAGCGCTTCTCCCCCCCCCCCTCCCCCCATCGTTGGTGCCCTCCACCACAGTTCCACCAAATGTTCAAATGTTGCCCACTTGAGGTGCCAGGCCCGTTGCGCAACCCCCACATGCCGGATGATTGGCATAGTGAGCATTGTGAAGGCGTGGATTGTGGTCGAGTTGGAACGTTTCGCTCCAAGCTCGCAGCAGCCAGCTTTTGTCCCATGAATATAAAGTGCGTCTGGTTGTAATCGGCTGTAAATATTACGCTTTTGTAGAGTCCAAGCATATATATACTGTGTGACTGCTTTAAATTACCGTGATTAAACTATATTAATGTGTTTTTTAATTGAACGTTAATTTATGAAGGTGTGGTTGTAGTACAGTGCTTGATAAATGCAATGGCTTTCCTGTGTCGGTGCATACATCAGTTCAGTCTTTCTTTATTGGAAGTTTTTTGTAAGTTAACTTTTTTTTCTTTTAATCATACCCCCCCCCCCTCCCCAATGAGCAATTGTGGGATGAATGAATTGGAACCGGGAGGCAGAGAGCAGCCGTCCTTGCTCCACCGCACAGCTGCCGCTGGGAGAGTTGTTCGTTACGTGATGGTCAAAGCCGATTTATATTCGGAGCTGCAAGAAGAAACGGAATTTTATTTTCGTGATTATTAATTAGTTTTATTTTGGCGGTTATATCGTAGTGTAGGAATAATGTTAAACAAATAAACAATCTTCAATCACTAATAGGGTTTTCCCCATTTTTTCTGGCAACAAAACTGACACCTTTTGTAAGGAATCATGTTAAGATTAACCACAATACAGAAAAAAGGGGAAAACCCCTATTTGTATATTTTGGTACTGGCAAAGGAGGCCTCATGATGTACAATCTTCAACCACCCGATGAGAGCCAATAAAACCACGTTGCCACATGGGCAAATGTGTGCCTGTTGATTTGGGTTTTCACCAAACCGGCTACGTTGAAGCAATCAAGATTCCTTGTTAATGTGATACCTACGCGGTTTGTCCCAAAATAAACCAATTATGAAACATAACATAGGTCGTGAGAGCCTCCGTGTAAAACTTTATTTGCAATGTTTAAATGGTTTCTTTAAAGTCGAGCCCTCTGAGTCGGTACCTATCCTCCGTCCGCGAGCCTCCTTAGGAATTGTTTGCAATTATAATCGAACCCGGACCTGGGGTTGTGGAACGCACGTCACGGTTTTTTTTGTTTTCCGAAAATGGTTTGCTACGATTATGACTGCACACCATTATCTTTTGCGTTGACTTTGGATTTGCATCAGTTTGTTACGGCTTTATAATACAACTCGAACAACAATCATGCTACAAAGGTGGTGGGGGGGGGGGCAAAGATGCAGGGTATTTTAACGGGCGATGTACAGAGGCCTGTTTGGCGAATGACTCCACTGCTGGATGAGGTTGCTCTTTCCTCTCGCCGTGCATGGCCTGGGCAGAAATGGCCGTGCGGCTCTGGTGTGCGAATATGTTTGAACTTATTTTGCTCCGTACGTAGCCAACCGTGCTGATCAGTTTCTAATTCGCGGCGCTCATCGGTGATCCATAGCCACGATACGACGGGAGACTAAATCGGCAACGCCACATTTTAAATGTCGTGGGTTTCCCTTGTAACACAGTAAATTAGCATTGCAGGGACGCTTCTACTTACGAACATTTGACTTACGAACTTTCAGAGATACGAACAAACCTGTCCGCATGTCCAGTTGCCATTTCGGACCGAGTTCAACTGCCGCGCAATAAACGGTGGGGGTGGCATCTACATCAGCAGAGCGTGAAGAACCAGTGGCATCTACATCTACAGGAGATTATACAACTTTTAAAGCCATTCCCCGTGTTTAGTGTGCATGCCGTACAACGTGTTGGAATCGACAGGAGTAAAGTTGGACTTGCGAACAAATCGACTTTCGAACAAACCTCTGGAATAAATAATAAAAAAATAATAAATACTATTAGAACAAATAATAGAAATAAAATAATGCCCTATTATTTCTCCTATTATTTAAAATTGTTATTACTTATTTATTTTCCTGCTTGACCTTACCGAAAAAAACCTAAGAGTATGAATCCTTGCAGTCACGAAAGCTTCAAATCTAAAACCTCTGGAACCTAACTCGTTCGTAAGTAGAGGAGTCCTCGGAGTACACTCTTTACAAACCCATTCGGGTGCAAAGCATAACCACCGTGACCCATTGTTATGTCCTTAGCAATCGTCCAGCCGCTGCATCGTACAGATTCGATTTTTTTTCAATCGACAAATATGCAAACGTGGCGGACCACAATTCGGAGGAGTTCATGTTGATTCGTAACTCTGCCAACTCCCTCCGAGTCGGGGGTTGAGCACCAAGGCGGCGTGGGTGAGACGGCGTGGTCGCTGTCCGGTGACGTGCAAGGCATCGGCGGGGTGATCGATCAAACCGGTGACCATCGCGCACCGTTCGCCGCCCAGGGCGTCATCATCACCGGGGCGCTGTTGTCTGTCTCTCCCTGCAGCCCCTCCGCTCACTTCTGCCCGAGTTCCCCCCTCCCTCCCCCCATCATTTAAACAGGAAGGGTGGTTACAAAAAAAAATGCGATTGTGCCGTGTACATATATACACTTAACATCGCCGCCGCCGCCGGCTGGCTTCAACGAGTTGCGCGCGGGATTGTACAAACTCGTGGCCGAAATGCGCGCTTAGAAGAACAATCGTGGACGTGGCTGATGGGTTCTCGTCGACAGGCGTCGTGTTCGTGTTCCGTCGCGCTCGGTGGCGAGGAGTAACCTGCAGCTCGCCTACACTTTTGACGATTCAATATCAATATATATTAACATCAAAGGGGACGCCCCTACATTATTCATAATCAACCTACGTGTTACCCCCCCCCCCCCCCAATTATCCCACCCCACATTAACCATGCTCTGTGAGTGACCGAGACATTGAGACTGGGAAAGGGGGATTGTGTGGTAGGACCATCAGAGTAACCAGTCATCGGCGCTTCATCAATGGAGAAGCAGAAACCCCGAAACGGACTCTCAGCCGAATGTCCTCCACGTGGTTGGCGGATACAGGCAAGGGGGCCCGAGTCGGGACACGGGGCTATTTAATTTATTTTAACATTGAAATATTTTTGTTGTTTCTTCTGTAAGTTAATATTCTATATCTTATTATTTATCATTGATATCTCTGAATTGCCGTCTTCCTGTGAGGTCGCATCAATCCGTCCTTTGCTAAGCTCGACCAAGGAAGCCCGAATGAGTTTGAGACGAACAAACTAAATTGATGGAATGTTCAAAGATCTGTGGTCTTTAAGCAAAGTTCTCAATCCGTTTCGAAAGAGAACGTGTGCGTGCATTAATATGAATGGAAGTCAGTTTGAACAAATGTTAAATTTAATTAAAAAACCCTGTGATTTTGTTAAAATAAATATAACCCCGTGTGTTGTGACTTGTGGGCGACCCTGTCGGTATACTGCACAAGGATAGACGTGGGGTAGATCCAGACTCACAATATGATCTGTGTGTGTGTGTACGCTTAACTTCTTACGCACCGTACGTTGCCAGCCGTGCTCGTTGTTAGGTGACTGGAAGCCACTCTCGGCTCGCTTTGCGGCTGTGCTGGAGAGCCCTCCCGTGTGTTTTCGCGTTTGTGATCGTACCGGCATATTATTCGGGACCTCGAGAAGATCCCGACACCTGCGGCAAAGCGTCGGGACATCCCCTCGAACCCTGCGCACAGCACAAGCCTCAAAACACGTGGGAGGGGGGGGGGGGGACTTGAAGGTTTTTTTAAAGTACTGCTGTATGCACACGCATCATTTTACTCGTGGCAATGTCTGGGAAAATAAAACTTGTGGTGTGTTTTTTAATGTGTGTGTGTGTAATGCTGTTGCGACATGCATTATTCCTGACGCTTAACATTGTATCGCGATGCTTATTAAAGCAGACGGCCCATTGAGTCGGGAGTTTTTTGACCTTGTCCGTGTGCCCACCCAGACCCACAGAGGCTTTAGTCCTTGCCGGGAAAATTGATGTTTGTATCGGCGTCATTATTCCGTCCGATTGTATAGATAGACCGATACATAGAAAGCCATACATTTGCATCAGAATCAGATGTATTTATGCTGGAGGAATCCAATGAGCTGTAAAGCTCTTTGTTCACAGATGTCCAGTAGGGGCGGGTAAGAATGTTACAACAACAAACAGGACAACACACACGATAGCCGTGCAAAGTACAAGGTTCACAAATCTCCCAACACACAAACACAATAAACCATCCTCATCCTCCCAAGTAAAGCCCACCGAGGTATTGACTTTAATTCAGAAGCGATTTGGCTATCGCAGCTCAACAAAGTGGCTTATCATTGGGACATTTACATCAGCAGAATAATCTAATAACCCCAAACGCATGTTTCTAACTGTGGAGGGGAAAGCCCAGAGGACCCGGAGCAAACATCCACGCGACCACGGGGGGAGAGACGCAAACTCCAAATAGACAGCAGCAGGCGTCAGGGTCGGGACCGAACCCACGTATCGTCCGCATACCAGGCGAGGGAGATAACGTCACGTGCAGAGATCTCCGTCGACTAACATCGAGAACCATGGACTGAAATAGACAAGGTTTCACACTCAAGAGCCCTGGGGAATATCTGAAATGCGTCCAAAGGGGGTGGGGGTGGGGGCAGTGGCCTGTTTGTGCGCTCCATGGTTTGAGATGTAAACATGCATGGAGATTCGTAGACTTTGTGGTCTCACAGACACCGACAAACTCATTGGTGACTGCAGTCGTTGTCGGTTCCACGCGAGGTGGAGTTTCTGTGTGGCCAAGAACAGTGAATTATGTGATAAGAATTTGAAACGAGTCGGTTATCAAATAATCTACATTATAAATCAAAATACATTGATAATACTGTTGCTACCTTAGGTGATTATAGATTTCTGTTCTGGCCCACGGACTAATTTGTGTAGGAGGTATCCATCCGTTGTTGACTTCCCAAAGTGGTAAATATTTTATCGACCCTGGAGTGAAGATTATGGACCGACTCGACCCCCTCCCCCAGCTGGGATTCGAACTTGCAGAATTGCGGTTGTGTGCACACAACAACAGCGCCAGCCAGCCAGCCCAGTTGTGTGGGGAGCGGTGGGGTCGCGGTTCGCGCACTGCACTAAGAACCAGGCGACCCGGGTTCGATTCCCGCTCACGGCCAACATCAGTGACGATTATCTGAACCGGTCCTGGGCCTCCCCTAGGTCGACTCGGCCTCAAATGAGTACAGAGTGCGGTGCGTAAAAACATCGCCACTGGGGAGACGAAGGCGGCTGGGCGTAGTGCTGGCCACCCACCCCCTCGTGTGCCGTGCCGGCCTTCACAGATGCTGCTCGCTAACAGCACTTGCCCCAAACAGTCTGTAAAGGCTACACGGGGGATCTTTGCCTTAGTTGGAATGGGGATCGCTAACCCGTAGGCCACCTCGGGGCTCGAGGCGGGAGGGTTTCGGCTGAACTTTAACAACAAGACGCGAGTGGGCGACGCTTGTTATGGATGCGCATTAATTCGCTCCCGACTGTCACGGCCGTTGTGCAATGCTCACACGATGCCACCACCGCCGTTACCATTCGTCACTCACCGTCGTCATTCAGCATAACCACCATCAGCTGGATCCTTCTCACGACCTTGCGCAATGGACGTGAACACGTGTTTACTCAGGACGGGTTCGGATGGCACTTGCGAAACGACGCAGTCCACAGTGCAGCAACCAAACACGACACCACGCCGGTTTAACACGCACCAGTCGGCGGCTTTCGCGACCAATGTTAATCATAAGATAGTTTTTTTACGGGATAGATCGTGTAAATGGGCGCTTCAAATTAATGTTAACACTTATATGGGACTATCGTTTTTAATGGGAAAAGAACGAATAACACACTGTAACATGATAATAAATGTATCTTAATAGCTTCAAAGAGTCTCCACTTGTTCACCATCATTGTCAACGCGTACCTGGAATCTTCTCCAGGTGGTTTCCAGAGCCTGGAGGCACATTTCCTGTGGTATTGTTGCAAATTCTCAGAAGTGCCAACATGTTTTCAAAGCACTAACCAGCCACCAAACGACGCAGCCAATCGGTAAGATTTGCCACGTGAACAGAGCGTGCCAATTAGTTACTAGTTCAGCACTACCCGGTTACGTGTTGGAGAGTAAAACCCACAACATTTTAATTGGAACACCGTGACGTCTCACCAGTAATTACAACAACCATTAGCCGCATCAGGCGACAGCGCAGAGCTGTGGAGAGATGCCGCCCTTTCAGTCGATGGGAGCCTTCTTTTGGCCAGATGGTGACAAACTAAAGTTGATGTAACTGCTCGACCCGAGATATGAACGCTGCGTGATGTTTGCATCGTCACCTTGTGCCGGTCGCCTTGTGGAGTTGCTCTCTGCGCTCTTGACACCACCGGTGCTGCTGAGGACGAGGCCACACAGAGGGAGGCTCGGGTGTAGGCCAGTCAGCTCCAGGGACAAGGCGTAAACAACTTCATCACCAGAGCGCGTGTGTTTGGTTGCACGTTTAGCCACAATCGTGATGCATGGTTCATGCGGACTTGGCGCCTCGTGATGCCAGGTGTCTCCTTGGTGTTTGAACAGCACCAAGAAGGCAAAGCGCGACCAACTCGTAGCCAGGAGACGCCTCTTACAAGCTGAGGCGATGATGAAGAAGCAGCTGCGAGCAGATCCGTCCCTGGGGAACGGCGATTCGGAGCGCCGCACTTCGCCGTCACGGATTCAGATGTAACGCGTGTCCCACTGGGGAGTTCCAAGGCATTGGCGGCCCACGTTGTGGCGTTTGCCCAGAGCCCAGCACCCCGCTGTGGATGGCCCTGACAGCAACCATTTGAAATTAAATGTTTACTATAAGATCCTGATTTCTTCAATCTGGAAAATAAATCTAAAGAACGCGAAGGAATGCGATACATGAACAGCAGTCGATTAACTCGACGGTAGCTGCGAGACAAACCAGACCATCTCGTCATAGTCATCATCTTCGTCGAGAGGGAAGTGCAACCAATTGATGTTTGACCATTTTCTGTGCAACACCATCATCACTTTCATACTAATAACTGTATCCATTAGAACCATTAAAGTCAAATTAATGTTGACGCCACGGTGGCTAGGAGATGTTAACTACCTCGCCTGGTATGAAGGAGGCCGTGGGTTCGATCCCGACCCTGACGCCTGCTGCTGCTGTATATATTTGGAGTTTGCGTCTCTCTCTCTCTCTCATCATCTTCACGGTGGCTAGGAGATGTTAACTACCTCGCCAGGTATACAGGAGGTCGTGGGTTCGATCCCGACCCTGACGCCTGCTGCTGCTGCTGTATATTTGGAGTTTGCGTGTCTCTCTCTCCCCGTGAGTGTGGAATTTTCTGCGGATCCTCCGGTTTTCCCCTCCACAATCAGAATCAACGTTGCGTGTAGAGCATTTGGCTTGCCGCTATACATCTCCACGTCACAGGCCACTTCGTTGAGCTATCATTTGAGGCGAGATCGCTTCTGAAATAAGAGCTGTGGTGGAGCTCAGTGGGGCTCACCTGGAGAAATACAAAAATGAACAGTTTGGTTTCCTGCTGTCACCACCACCATCAGCATCATCATCAGCAGTAGCATCATCATCATCAGCAGCATCATCATTATCATCATCAGCATCATCATCATCAGCAGCATCATCAGCAGCAGAAGTATCACCATCAGCATCATCATCAGCAGCTTAATCAGCAGCATCATCATCAGCATCATCATCATCAGCAGCAGCAACATCACCAGCAGCATCATCAGCAGCATCATCAGCAGCAGCATCATCATCAGCAGCATCATCATCAGCATCATCATCATCAGCAGCAGCATCATCAGCAGCAGCATCATCATCAGCAGCATCATCATCAGCATCATCATCATCAGCAGCATCATCAGCAGCAGCATCATCATCATCAGCAGCATCATCATCATCAGCAGCATCATCATCAGCATCATCATCAGCAGCAGCATCATCATCATCAGCAGTCGCATCATCATCAGCATCAGCATCATCATCATCAGCAGCAGCATCATCATCAGCAGCATCATCAGCAGCAGCATCATCATCAGCAGCATCATCAGCAGCATCATCATCAGCAGCAGCATCATCATCAGCAGCAGCATCATCATCAGCAGCATCATCATCAGCAGCATCACCGCGCGCGCCCCTGCAGGCACGGGCCACGCCAAGCGCCGCGTGGGGTCGCGGTCCGGGCTGCTGCTCTGCGCAGACAGAGAGGGGGGGGCGAGGGACAGGGGGAGGGGGGACAGGGGGAGAGGGACAGGGGGAGGGGGGACAGGGGGAGAGGGGGAGAGGGACAGGGGGAGAGGGACAGGAGGGACAGGGGGAGAGGGGGAGAGGGACAGGGGGAGGGGGGGCGAAGGACAGGGGGAGGGAAAAAGAGAAAGAGGGGGGGGGGGGGAGAGGGGGAGAGAAGGACGTAGAGGGGGGAGTGGGAGAGAGAGAGGGGAAAAGTTGTAGTGAGAAGTTGACTACTCTCAGCAGAGCCGCCTCACTCACCCTGCACACTTCTCACAGCTGTCTCACTCACCACTCACACTCACCACTCACCCCTCACACTGACCAATCACCACTCACCCCTCACACTCACCACTCACTCCTCACACTCACCACTCACTCACTCACCCCTCACACTCACCCCTCACACTCACTACTCACTCCTCACACTCACCACTCACACCACTCACTCCTCACACTCCCCACTCACCCCTCACACTCACCACTCACTCCTCACACTCACCACTCACACACTCACCACTCACTCCTCACACTCACCACTCACTCCTCACACTCACCACTCACACTCACTCCTCACACTCCCCACTCACCCCTCACACTCACCACTCACACTCACTCCTCACACTCACCACTCACTCCCCACAC